CCAGATTTTTTAGGTCTGAACTAACGTAATATGATAAACAAGAAATAATTGATTTAACTATATAGCATGTGACAAAAATCAGAATTTTAGAACTCTTAATTAGTGGGCTAGGGATATTATTTTGCTTCAGTTGGATTTTTTTAAATTTGGCAAATTGAGCTGATAATCTAGTTGTTTAAGGCATTTTTAATGACTTTTTTTCACGCTGTGGGCTTTCATGGATCAGTTTTCTGAACTAATCTGGTTGAATTGAATGTGCAAGGGAATGAACAAAAACAGCTATCTTCACAATGCTATTCTTTACAAAGGTTCGAAGGACTTTTTTCAAAGGCCACGGATATAGAAAATTCAAAAGGAACCAAAGGTAAATGTGTAGGCTGTGAGAAGAAACACAAAAGGTAACTGGTCAAATGCCATTTTGGGAGGGATAAAAGGAAGGTTAAAGAGCAACTGAGGGTTCTTTTTTTCTATTGAGAAATCAGGAAAACCCTGTTAAGTGATGGAGTCCTCAGCCTGTGTTCTGTTCTGTGCAGCCTCACCTGCAGCCCTGCCTCTGTGATTTCAAAGCCTGCTTCCTACTTTCTCAGTATGTATCTGTCTTTTGTAGCTGATGCCTGGTATTCCATAAGAAGTGAGACTTTGCTGTATCTTTGACCTTCATGCAATTAACTTTAAACCTGCTGTGCATAATTAATTATATGAGAGAGAGAACAAGGTGCTACCACAGCTGATAGAAAACTGTAGAAACATCATTTCATGCCATGCATGGAGATTGAGGTTATGAAAGGACTGCATTTATAGATATTTAAGTTCAAAGAGTCTCTTCTCCATTTAGTCTTCTCTCTCTGCCTAGGGCAAACGTTTTGGCAGAGTGTTCCATTTCAGCACACTGCACGCTGTGTTGGGTTTTGTTGAGTGTTTTCTGCTCTGTGTGTTCCTTCATATTGCGGGCGGTGAAAAGCCAGGGAGTCCAGCGTATTCACTCTGCACCCCTGCCCAGCTCAGGGCCTGTGCAAAGTGAATGTGGGTGGAGGAAGGAGCGGTCGGGTGAGTCTTGAAAGTTGATATGCTGCAGATGGGCTTCAGTGCAGCATTGCTTACTCTGTCCCTTTGGGCAAAGGGAAAAGTCTGTGAACTGGCTGTGTGGTAGATTGTGAATTCATCTCGATTGTTTTGTATCAATATGTCCCTGGAGAAAATAGATGTCTGTGAGTGAGCCCTAGACTTCAGAGCTAAATTTAATAGTAGGTAAGTCGGCCGGGCGCGGTGGCTCAAGCCTGTAATCCCAGCACTTTGGGAGGCCGAGATGGGCGGATCACGAGGTCAGGAGATCGAGACCATCCTGGCTAACACGGTGAAACCCCGTCTCTACTAAGAAATACAAAAAACTAGCCGGGCGAGGTGGCGGGCGCCTGTAGTCCCAGCTACTCGGGAGGCTGAGGCCGGAGAATGGCGTGAACCCGGGAGGCGGAGCTTGCAGTGAGCTGAGATCCGGCCACTGCACTCCAGCCTGGGCAGCAGAGCGAGACTCCGTCTCAAAAAAAAAAAAAAAAAAAAAATAGTAGGTAAGTCTATGCCCTGGTTTTTCCTGTCCCTAAAATCCATCTTACAACAGCTTAGTTCCTGCTTTAGAGATGTAGTGCTCTCTGCTTCATAGCTGGGGAGCTTTTTTTTTTTTTTTTTTTTTCCCCTGAGACAGAGTTTCGCTCTTGTCACCCAGGCTGGAGTATAATGGCGCACTCTCGGCTCACCGCAACTTCTGCCTCCCAGGTTCAAGCAATTCTCTTGCCTCAGCCTCCTGAGTAGCTGGGATTACAGGCATGCACCACCACGCCCAGCTAATTTTGTATTTTTAGCAGAGATGGGGTTTCTCCATGTTGGTCAGGCTGGTCTTGAACTCCCGACCTCAGGTGATCCACCCACTTCGGCCTCCCAGAGTGCTGGGATTACAAGCGTGAGCCGCAGTGCCTGGTCTCTTGGCAGGCTTTTGGAAGCCCCAGGGAAAGTCCTGTGGATTTGACAGCATCTGAGATGGGGGTGAGACTGACTCAATTGAAGCAGTTTCAAGAAGCTGCTGCTTTCAGTGATAGCAACAATGAGTGTCTTGTTGTATCCTCTGGAGTCCCTGCGAGGGGCGGCCATGTCTCAGAGATGCTATTAGCATCCAGGCAGCATGCCACAGAAGTGAAAGATTTCATCTGGACCTCTGGAAACTGGCAGCAGGGCAAAGCCACTGCTGATCCTGGCCACTCAGTGCCAGAGACGGTGTCTGTGTACAGGAAGATCTGCCTCACTGGCTCTAAGTTGCTCTAAATTGCTCCGGAAGACAGCAGTATAGGCTGTGTATAACTTTTTTGGGTATGGCATAGAGAGACACAAATGGATCATTTTCGATTTCTCTTGGTGAGCAACTCTTCCTTTCATAAGGTATTTTGTTTTCGATTGGCTTTGTACTTTGGAAATTCCACTGAAGCCTGCGTAAAAAATGATCTTATTCCCAATAAAGACATGATAGCAAAGATAGAAATGTTTGCCTGGGAATTATTTTACATGAAGTTGTGCTTTGCTTATTTCTTATAGAACTATGGTACAGCCCTTTGTCTTGTATTAGAGAGAGAGGTTTTTTTTTTTTTTTTTTTTTGAGACGGAGTCTTGCTGTGTCGCCCAGGCTGGAGTGCAGTGGCCGGATCTCAGCTCATTGCAAGCTCCGCCTCCCGGGTTTTTACGCCATTCTCCTGCCTCAGCCTCCCGAGTAGCTGGGACTACAGGCGCCCACCACCTCGCCCGGCTAGTTTTTTGTATTTTTTAGTAGAGACGGGGTTTCACCGTGTTAGCCAGGATGGTCTCAAACTCCTGACGTCCTGATCCGCCCGTCTCGGCCTCCCAAAGTGCTGGGATTACAGGCTTGAGCCACCGCGCCCGGCCAGAGAGAGAGGTTTTAAAAGCAAGACAGGAGCCTTGGCTTCTATATAAATTGTGCATATTACTACTTGACACACTATCTTGACCAAGGCCTAGCCTCATCTTAATCTTTGAAAATGCCTGTCTTTCAAGATCCCACAGTTTCCGCCCTTCCTGCCTTCCATCATTATTTTGTAAACACTTGCTAGGTAACACCACCTCTTTGATTTCCGACTGCCTGGGTTAGGTGTTTAACATACCAGACTTGCTTTGTCCTCTGAAAAAATAGAAATAATTTTGGTACTGTTTTCTTTTCAAGATTGTTATAAAAACTAGGTTAGATGATACTTGGAATTGTTTAGTACCATACCTGAAACATACGTGCTTCAGAATTAAATAGAACAAGGCCCAGTTCCTGCCATTTTGGAGTTTATAGCCTGGTAAGAGAAGCAGATAAGTCAGTAAATGATTGGGCTCAATATGTGATGAGTTATATAATTCATTCATTAGCAGACGTATACTGAGCCCCTGGTATGTGGCGGGCAGTGTTGTAGAGATAATGCAGTGAACCAAATGGATAAGCTGCCTGCTTTTATGAGGCTTACTGTTGACCAGCAGTATAATAGAATTGTGCAGAGACGTGCCCTGGAAACAGGATTATCAGACTGGGATGGGGATGGAAGGATTGATTTATGTATCAGAGGAGCCCCCGCTGGAGGAAGTGAGCCTTGTGTTTTCAACACTGAGTGGATATATGTTGAGCCAAAGGAGCCCAATACAAAACCATGTATACTAAAGGATTTCATTTGCAAAAAGTACAAAAGAAGCATGGTAATAGAAATTCCATGGTAATGAAAAACAGAACCTGGTGCATCTATGTCTTGGTAAGTAAACACAGAGCTGTACTCGCTTATGATTAACTCAGTTTATGTTACGTATGTTAAGAAATTTTAATGGCAATAATGAATGGGCTTATCTAGGTAAAAACAGAGGGAAGGAATAGGAAAGGCTGGGGCAAGGGTGCTGTGTTCCTGTGTGGTAAGTCGTCCTCTCTGCTGGGTTGGAAGGATGCACATGGGGATGAAGGTGGGGTGACAGCGACAAGCGTCTGTAGATTCAGGCTGCTGTGAGAGAAGAGACTTTTTTCCCCCAGGTGTTGGTCATGAAGCATTTTTTCTTAAGAATGTAGAGTGGCACAGTAGAAACTGACTTTGGTTTGAATTGCTTGCCTCTGAACTTCTGTCTGATCTTAGCATCCTTCAGATGGGCTTTTGGGAGGATTACGTGGAATAGTGGATGTCGAGTGCAGTGTCTGACCTGTACCTGTGTTTAATAAATACATAACAGAGTTAAAAGTATGTGTGTGGTGGGGGCAGTATTTAATTAATTGTAATTTTAATACTTGCTCAAAATAAAAAACTAGGGTGACTTCAATATGTAGAAAAGTGCTTGCTTATCTGAAACTTTTGATCCTTCAGTTGAATAATGATTTTTATGTAATTATAGCTTAATATTATATTAAAAGTATTGATCATTTTTCCTGTACTCATTAAACCATTGTAAGCATTTGGGAACAGTGTAAAAATAGCCAAAGAATTTCTCTTTTAGTCAGGCTCATATTTGGCAAAAGTTGTATGAGGGATGAGACAACTAAGTATGTCAAGTTTCTCATCTTTTCTGAAAGGTTTGAGTGTGTGGGAAGGGAAGTGAGAAGCAAGCAGAGAAATTAGTAGGATTTTTAAAAAATGAAATTAATGCTTTTGAAACATTAAACATCAAATTATAGGTATGATAAATACCTTTTGGGGTTATAATGTGTTAGTGTAATCAGCTCCTTATTAACTTTGAAACTGTCACAGGAGAAGTTCCTTTTAATCAATAATGAGCCAAGTTCATTCAGACTCTTTTGACAATGATTACTAGTCTCCGACTTATTTTAGACTTTCCAGATTATCTCTTTTAAGCTCTCACCCTGTTTTACCGTACCTCTCTGAAGAATCTCTCGTTTTCTGGGAATGGCTTTGCATTGACTGCCTAGAACACACTCCATTCTGTGTTTTTACACCTTGAATCTCAGTTGGATCTGTCCTCTGTTTTAGGAGCGAGCGAGCCCGCTGGATAACTGCCCTGGGACACAGCAGCGGGAAGCCGCCTGCAGACCGAACCTGTAAGTTCTCTCAAGGGGAAGCCCACTTGGGAACATGGACAGGCTCTGCCCCCTGCTGGACGCTGGGTTGCTAATGAGTTACACTCAATACTCAGGCCTAAGTTTCTTCCAAGGCTTGCTTCCTTCTGCTTTACACCAGAAGTGTGTGGTCCTTGTTTTGGAAGTCAGGGGGTCTGAAGTCAAATCCGAGGTGCATTTCTTTGTTGTGTTAACATGGCAAATCATTGCTTAGCATTACAGAGCCTATTTAACACCATCTGCAAGTCAGTTACACCATTATATAAAACATGGGGTTATTGTGAAGATTAAGTTAAATAATCTATGTTAAAAGCCCTACTTGAACTATAAAGCTCTTAAATCTTTAGCTGTTATCAAATGGGCAATAGTTGATAATGTTTAAGCCTTCTCCATACTGACAGTCTGGATTTAAGCTGGAAAGTATTTTTAATCTAAAAGAAAATTACTTAACAATTATTTTCGACCTTCTAAGAAAGTGTGTTTCATTATTTAGAGAATTAGAAACTGGTGCAGTAAAGGGTGGTGGTGTGTGCCTATTAGCTTCCTAACTGATGCTGTGGTTCCTTAGATTGTTACAGTTGCAAGGTCAAATCCACAGAATTAGGGCAAAACGTCACTATCTTGGAACACTCAAAAATTATAGCTTTAAGCTTAGATTAAAAGCCAAAATGACTGGTTTGAAAGTTCCCTAAAATCAAGCTTTGTATGAAAAAGCAAATTAAGAAGTCACATGTCAGCATTTCTGAGGAGCTCTAACATGTCTTCTCAGCTTTTGGTTGGAGCTCATTTTATTTCTAAACTTTTTTGTGGAAGCTTTCATGTGCTGCTGTTGAGATGGGGAGACACTCTGATGACAGCCAGGAGAACTGTGTCTGTTGCAGATTTTGCATGGCCTTGGTACATCAGCAGCTCTTTCATGCCTCAGTTTCCCTAATGGAAAATGGCTGTTTTCTTCTCCATTGTGTGACATGACTAATGACTCCTGATCAACCTGTTATTGAGGGGATTTATGCATCATAAAAGGCCTCGCAAATCTGAGCTTCTAAAATTCTAAAGCATATAGCCAAGCAAGGGAGCTGCTAGAAAAGACGTTCTGCTTTTTGTTTGAAGCCCAACTTGTTTCTCTCAATGCTGGGCCTGAATTGCAGAGAAAAATGAGTAAGTGTACGCCATTAGATTGCACGTTTTTTCTCTGCTACTGAAACTATGTCCTCTTTGTGCCGCAGCACTGACGCAGGTGGAAATCATTAGGTCATTTACTGCCAAGCAGCCAGATGAACTCTCCCTGCAGGTGGCTGACGTCGTCCTCATCTACCAACGTGTCAGCGATGGTGAGTGGGAGCATTCTTACTGGGCACTCGTGGTCCAGGATGCAGAGTGCTATAGACCCGAGGAGTGTCATTTTGTCATCATTGCCCATATTCCAAATCTTGACATGTTAATGTTTGAGATCGCATACATGTACTGTCTTCTCATCTCTAAGGCTAATTTTGCTGCTTCTCTGTTCTTACTCCTTTCCTCTTCCCCAAGACTTTATTTCCTAAATCAGAGGCATAAAGATGACTTGGAGAAGTGTTTTGGGGACTTTGAAACATTTGTCTCTTCCCTTATGTGCTTTCCCTTCAGCTTTCTCATGTGCATCTGCCTCAGCTATCTACACTCCACGATTGATCTAATTTGGTTTTGAATGTAGATGCAGTCATATGGTTTGTTATTCAAAAGGAAACCATGAGGTTTTTTTTTTTTTTCCCCAGTCCCCCAGTGACCTAGTTCTCATATCCAAATATTCATCCTTTCAAAAATATTGTTCTTCCTGCTATCCTTACCCAAAGCCTCTCGTTTCCTAGCTCAGCCCAGGTTCAAATACTCCCAGCCTTCTCACTTAATAAGGGCCTCTGCTCATGTCCTTTCCCTGCCATGTCATTCATTCCGCCTTGAAGCCTGTCCCTGTCCCACTTTCTCTTCTCACCATAGCATCTAGCCTGGGGAGGGATGCTGCCTCTCAGCTTTTTCATATCCTCCTTGGAGCCTGGCACACTCCAAATACTTGTTGTTTGATGTGAACTCTGTTCTTTCTGACAGGCTGGTATGAGGGGGAACGACTGCGAGATGGAGAAAGAGGCTGGTTTCCTATGGAATGTGCCAAGGAGATAACATGTCAAGCTACAATTGATAAGAATGTGGAGAGAATGGGACGCTTGCTAGGACTGGAGACCAACGTGTAGTCTCTCAGATCGTCTTTTGTTACTGCAAGATTTGCACGACACTTACCGGGCTGATTGATTCTGGGCTAGTTTTATTGTTAATTTTATCACAGCCTATTTAATTAAAAGAATGAAAACCCTTGCCTTTAAGCTGGCCAGGTTGTTCCGCTCTCTCATGAGAAGAACTTGGATACAGTGAGTTTGCACAGCTCAGTTTTTACCTAACCACACACCTGCAGACCTCCTGAGGTACACAGACTAGCTGAGCAGTTCACTTCAGGGATCAGGTCATCTCTGCTCCTCCTGGTTTCACCATGTTCTGGCAATAAAAAGCACGTATTATATCCTGGTTTTCTCCGTCCTTGCTTTACTAAGGTTACTGTCTCTTTAAACATCCTTGTATGGTTCTCCCCGTATTAGCAAGATTTTATATCTGTAAAGAATGTCCAGTTTTGTAAATATTTCCCTGCTTTTTTTTTTTTTTTTTTCTTTTTTTACATCTGATTCTAATACTTTGTTAACTTCAAAAGGAACTGGTAGAGTTCAGAAGATGAGCTGTTCTGTTTTTCTAAACCTCTTCCCAGGAAAGGGACATCGACACTTGAATTTTTGTCACCTTTTTCCTCACTAGAAGGAAAGTAGAAAGCCTCACTTTAGGATTTTTTTAAAAAAATCCATCTCACCCCATGTTAGTCTTAAATAAGTATAGACTAATTAACCTAAGCTACCTTTAACAATGTAGAATTTAGATGGTTTCACATATGTGAGAAAATCCTGAATATAGGACAGGGGTCCTGCTTTTTTTCCCCCACCTCTGCCACCCTGGCTAGAGTGTAGTGGTGTGATCTTGGCCCACTGCAACCTCTGCTTTCTGGGTTCAAGTGATTCTCCTGCCTCAGCCTCCCAAGTAGCTGGGATTGTAAGAGTATGCCACCACGCCCAGCTAATTTTTGTATTTTTAGTAGAGACAGGGTTTCACCATGTGGGCCAGGATGGTCTCTAACTCCTGCCCTGAAGTGATCCACCTGCCTCTGCCTCCCAAAGTGCTGGGATTACAGGCGTGAGCCACTGTGCCCAACCCACTTTCTAAAAAAAAAAAAAAAAATTCTTCCCGAATGAGCTGATAAAAAACTGACGTGAGGCTGCTTTGCCTTCAATAATACCTGGTTTTCAGCTTTTCCAACTCGTTTCCAAATAGAAATTAGCTGGAACACACTATAGTACAAGGAAGGGAAAATTAGGCCTTAAAAGATACCAAGAAGTCAGCATGGTACCCAATTGAAACCTTTTGACCTTAGTGAGAATTCATTCTATTTGCACTAAAAGCCTTAACTTGCAGTATCCAGAGTCGCTCTTAACTGTTGAGTTTCTGTAGAACTTTGTCCACTAGTGCAGAGAGAGAGGTTATTTTAATAGTCGGTTTCATGGAGATGATGAAGAATGGGAGACTAAGATTGGGGAAATGATTTTTACTGGCAGCTATATATTCCCTATTTTCTTTAACAAAGGGATAAAACTTGGCAAAGTATACATTATTGGAGGACTCAAATCTGTATGTGACATGTCCCAGCTACTGTCTGCTAACTAGTTATCCAAATTGTAAAGCTACAGAAACCCAGTTGAGGGATAAGTGTGCCTGACTCACAGCCTGCACCCTGCCACCTCGGCAATGAGCCAGTGTGGGGCACTGGGGACTTCTAACCCTTGAATTGCTCTTTTTGACCTGTGCATACATTCTAATTGTAAAATTTTAGACCGTGAGTACCTTGAGATCTGAGCAACTGTGTTAGTGAAGTAACAGCAATGGGCCACAGTGAAAGATGTGTTGGGGTTTTCAAAACAAGAATTCCGTCTCCTCTTTCATAATGTCACAGACATTTTAAAGGAGAGGCTAACAAGTTGTAATATAATCTCATGTTTTATTTAGGAAGGAAGGTAAATTTGTGCTTGCATGGGGATCATTTTGTATTATTTTTGCTAATACCCAGTTGAAGCTAAAAAGCAATTATATGAATCCTGTGAGTTAATTTATAAGAATGTTAAACAGCTTTGGAAATACGTGCATCTTATGAATCATAGCCTTATTTAGCAAGATCAATGCTGTGTATTAAAGTGTTGTTTTATGGCAAGTATTTAACACATTCAGTGTTTGATTTCAGCTGTGAATTGTCTTAACACAGTTTTTACAAACCTAGTTGTTTCTATGAACACCTGCTCTGAATTGTACATTGACTTCATTACTAAAGAACAAAAATGTTCATTTTTGTCCCAGTAAATTGAGACTGCTTGTATACTTTCAGAAAAATGTGAATTTATAAAGATTTTGTAGATACTTGTCCTTTTGTGCTGGTGTGATTTATTTTACTCTAGGTTGTTTTCAGTTAAGTATACAGTTTCCTGGATTTTTGGCCAAGTCAGAGCTCTATTTAAAAGGTATCTGTAGCTAACATTTCAGGGGACTAAGGTTTTCTCTTTGGGTGCGTGCTGGCATCAGCTGCCCTAGAAGACCAGAACATTTTTAAGAGATGGGTCATGCTATTTCTTCTCGTAGTTGGCATAAACCTGCAGGACTAAATCGCTTATCTTACATAGTGCACAGTTCCCTGATCCCCTGGAGCATATCCTACCATTTTGGTCACCTCGTATCTGAACCTTTGTGTTTGTGAAATTCTGCCACCTTGTGAGCCTTGGTAGAAGTGAAAAAATGACCTCTTTGACATTAGTTTTTTATTGCTGCATAACAACAAATTACCACACACTTAGTGGCCTAAAACAATACCCATTTAATATCTCACAGTTCTGTAGTCAGAAGTCTAGAATAGCATGGGTGGGTTCTCTGCTTAAGAATTTCACAAGGCTGTAAGTGTTGGCTGGCTGCTTTCTCATCTGGAGCTTGGTGTCTTCTTTCAAGCTCATTTCTGTTACTGGCAGGATTTACATCCTTGCTGTTGCTGAGCTGAGGTCCTTGTTTGCTTGCTGGCTGACAGCTAGGGGCTGCTCACAGCTTCTAGAGGACCTTCATATCCTCACCACAGGCTCCTTCCATCTTCAAGGCAGCAGTGGCATGTTAACTCCTTTTCTCACTTGGAATCTGTTTGACTCCCTCTTAGGCTACCAGTGGGAGAAAACTACTCTGCTTTTAAATAACTTACATAATTAGGTTAGACTCATAAGTGCCTTATGACTAACTCAAAATCAAATGATTTGGGGCCTTAATTACATCTGCTAAATTCCTTTGCCATGCAATATGAAAGAATCACGGATGTAGTATCAGGGAGGGAGATTGGGGGACATCTTAGATTTCTGCCTGTAACACCTATAAAACCTTAAGATGCTTGAGGCTTAGAGTTTCCAGCATCTCTTGCAGCTAAGATACAGCTAGCTATGTGATAGGAAACAGCATTCAACTACCTCTATCTTAGAATACACCAATCAAAGGCTTCTTTCCTAGATTTTCACTCGAGCTAGTGATGGAAGAGGAAAGAGTACAACCCTGGAAGTAGCAGGATGCATCCTCCTCTTCGCTCCATCCCCTATCCCAAATTACTGCTGCATTTTTCCTAGGCTTTGGCAAGCACCAGAGAGACAGAGCTACTTGGTGGTCTTGCAGTGCTAAAAAATAATCCAGGTCAGTGTTCAGTACCATTAATAACTCTTCTCATGGATTTGGTCCCTAAAGGGCTTATTCTGATGTGGGAGTATGAATCTGAAAGATCTAAAACTTTGCTTTCTGGGTTTCTAGTATATTAAAGTCCTGGTAGAAGAAAACACATCCTGTCTCTGAAAGAAACCAGCATTGTCAGAACTAAGACTTCTGTTATTTCTAAAAGCAAATCGTCAAAGTTTCAGTAAACACTGAGACATGGCATTGTGATCCAGAAAAAAACACAGGGACTCTATATCATCAGATATATGATGTCTATAGAATCATCAGATATAGACATTAAAGTACTTAGCATTGCTGTTTACAGAGATAAAGCCAGAACTGAACTATATAAAGTTGCATAACAGAAGGAAAAAACCTAGAAATTATGGAACTGGGTTTAATGCCAGATTAGGTAAGAGTTAAAAGAGATATTGGGGAATGGGAAGAGAGGCTAGAAGATTCTATCCTTAAGGAAGCATGGAGAGAGGAGACCTGGAGAATGTAGGGATTTAATCAGAATCCCAGAGGAGAGCGGAGAGAGAAAGCAGCATTGGCAAGGGGACTGGACCTTTATAACCCTGTTCTGAACAGATAGAGGAGGCAGACTGTCCCCAGGAAAAGAGAGTGGTCTCGGGTAAGGTGGCTCCCTTCAGCTGAGGACAATTCCCATAGAGGGCTGATGGGTGAAGGCTGTCATCTGGTTGTACTCCCAGCACCTAAGTCAAAAAGTCCTTCAGTCCTGATGGGGGATCAGGGCAGAACATCACAACATTCACTACATGGAGCTATATCAATGTTACATAAAATGGTCTTTAGGGTAAAAGGTATCACTAGGGATAAAGTGAGTGCCTACATAGTGATGAATGTTTCATCTAATCAGGAAGATGGAGTAATTTAAATATATATTCTAGCAATAACCTGGCCTTAAATTATATGGCCTCAAACTAAAGTTGGCAGAAATATAAGAAAAAATAATTTAAAAATCATAGCATGAGCCTTCAACACATCTCTCAGAATTTGATAGGAAGAACAGATACAAATCAGGAAAAGTATAGAAAATTTTAATGAAATAGTTAAACATAACAGGCATATATAGGACACTCTGCAAACAATTTCAGCATATGCATACTTTTCAAGCACATAAAATATTTACAACATTTGGCTATTCCCTGGGGCATAAGACAAATTCCAACAAATTTTAAAGAACTGAAGTTATGTGGAGTGAGTTCTTTGACTGCAACATAAGTAGGTTAGAAAACAATAAAAATGAAGAATTATCAATTTATTTGGAAAGTTAGGCCTAAATATAAAATGCAAAAGTATAAAATTCCTTGAAGATGACATAGGAGACAATCTAGGCGACCCTGAGTTTGGTACTGACTTTTTATCTACAACATGAAGAGCACAGTCCATGAAGAAAAAAAATTGGTAGTTAAGCTTTTACAGTAAAACCTCAGTTCTGTGAAAGGCATTGTTAGAATAAAAAGCCACAGACAGGAAATATTTGCAAAACATAAATGATAAAGGATTGGCAATCAAAAACATACAGAAAACTTAAAACTCAACAGAAAACAACCCAGTGTTCAAATTCGGGGGTTGGGGGGTGGGGGCACTAGGCAACTCACCAAAGATACACAATTAGTATATAAATATATGAAAAGATATCTGAGATCATACATTAGGGAATTATAAATTTAAAGGAGATACTACTGTACTCATTAGAATAGCTGAAGTCTAAAACCCTGAAAATACTAGATACTGATGAGAATGTGGAGCAGCAGAACTCTTATTCACTGCTGATGGAAATGCAAAAACAACTTAGGAAGACAGTTGGGCAGTTTCTTACAGAAATACACACCTACCATATGATCCAGCAATTAGACTCCTTGGTATTTATCCAAATGAGTTGAAAATATGCCCACAGGAAAACCTGTTCATAGCAGCTTTACTCATCATTGTCAAAACTTGAAAGCAACTAAGATATCCTTCAATAGATGAATGGATAAACTGTTACATCTATACAATGGGATATTAATGAGCAATAAAATCAATGTTATCAAGCCATAAAAAGACATGAAGTAACCTTAAATGCACCTGCCAGGTGAAAGAAGCCAATCTGAAAAGCCTACACACTTTATGACTCCAAATATATGACATTCTGGAAAGGCAAACCACGTAGAGTGGTTGCCTGGGAGTCGGGGGTAGGGAGGGAAAAATAGGTAGAGCACAGAGGATTTTTTAGGGCAGTGAAAGTGTTCTCTGATATGGTGATAGTGGATACATATTATACATGTGTCAAAATGTACAACACCAAGAGTGAACCCTATGTAAACTACGGACTTTGATAATGAAGTATCAAAATTGGCTCATTAATTATAACAAATATAATCCATAATACAAGATGTTAATTTAAAAAACTGGTGGGAGGGGGTAAAGGTGTTTAT